CTCTTCTCATGAAATAGCACTGGAGTACAAAAACCAAATCAAATTACCCAAACACATTTATAGCCGCTTTTTACTTCCATTGGCCAAAGCAAGTCACAGGGCCAAACCTAAAGTCAGGGAAGTACTTTCTGTCCCAAAGAGAAAGGAAAGTGATGAATGTTGGCTGAATAATCACAGTATATGAATCATTAACTGGGAAATAACCTACAAGCCATTATCTGGGAACCATACAAAAGGGGACTATAATTTTAGGACTTAGAGAAATCTTAACTCGAATTTGTTGAGCTTTTTCACATTGTATTTTTATTTTAATTATTCACCTAACTTCTCCCTCTTTCCTATCACACTAAATCTTCAAATAAAACCATTTTTCTGTACATGAGACTATACTACATTGGTAGGCATTCTTTGTATACCAATGTAGCTGTTAAGGGCTTGGATGTTTGTGTATCTCCCCAAGATTTTTAGGCTGAACTTCTAATCCCCAATTTGATACTCTTAGGAGGTAGGGTCTTTGAAAGGAAATTAGATCATGATAGGGAAGTCCAGATGAATGGGATTAGTACCCCTAGAGAAGGTGCCCTAGAGAGCTCTTCCACCCATTCTGCCATATGAGGATACAATGAGAAGTCAGTCTGCAACCCAGAAGAGGGCCCTCAGCAGAACCCAACTAGGCTGGCACCCTGATTCTAGATTTCCAGCCTCCGGAATTACAAGAAAAATGTTGTATATATGTCATCTAGTATATGATACTTTATTAATTAGAGCAGTAGGAAAATAGCTTTCAATAGGATGAAAAATACCTGTTCTCAAAATCATTGGGCAACTTCACAACAAGACAGTCTATAAGAGAAACCAAAACCATTTGAATAGTTCTCCAAAAAGAGTAGCTAAGTTATGATAATAGAGGAGACAGTAATAGAAAAATGTGATTTTCCTCTGTGACTTGGGATGGTTCCTCAAATAATTGAAAAAAAAAAAAGCTAAAAAATAGCCAATTTTAATTCTCTCCAAGAAAAAGTTAAGAATCAAAAATGTCACTAGAAAAATGCCATCAGCCCTCCCTAAGAGCTCTCTTCTTTGGCACTGTGGCACATTGCATGTAAAACCTTTAAATATGTCCTTGCTAACTCTCCTCTATTCAACTACCAGAGTTCTTCGACATTCCCATTTACTTTCTTTATTCTCAGTACTGTGTAAGTTATATTGTGTCACACAATTTTGAGACCTATTTGAAAATGCCCAATGATACAGATAAGAGGAGCGAGGATAGAAAATCTACCAGTGACAAGATCCATTCTGTCTCACAGGACATCCACCATGCAGTGACATTGAACTGGTTCTGGTAAACATAACAAAATTGTAGAGGTTTTACGGGAAAACAATCTGCATAAATTCACATTCTTGCCAAGAGGAATTTGTGCTTGAGAAAAGAATACTATATAACAATACTATTAAAGCCTAAGGTGCAGAGTTTGGGGAAATAAATGAAGCCCTGCCAATTTTGCTGAGACTAGTTCTTTTGGAGGCTCCTTCCTCTTTCCTTTTTTGTATTCATGAGTACCACAGGATGGTGACACTTTGAGTCATTATATTAAAATGAAGAGTCAAGGTATTTATTATTTAGGTATTTATGTATGTAAGTGGAGGGCAGAGGGTAAAGGGTTAAATACCTGGTCATCCCATTCCTCCCTCCCCTACCCATAACTGGAAAGACAACAGTTCCTGTCCTCCATATTCAAACCATTTCACTTCCTTTCTTCAGTTCCTGAATATCAGATGTTTCTTTTCAAAAAGGCCATCTTGTTCCGATATTTTCAGTCATCTTGCCTAATATAAATCTGCCAAATTAAGAACACAATTTATATGAATAAAATAGGATTTTTGGTTTGTTTTTTGTTTTGGTGGGTTTTTTTTTTCCTTGTAAACGAAGAAGCACTTAGGCAAAATTCTACAGATAAAGGAAAAAACAGATTATTTATTATAAGTCATTTGCAATCTCTTATATGTAGCAAACTGCACATTGTATGTCATGTCTATTACAGAGGCAGGAACTTTGTGCAATTATAAGTTGTGCTGTTGGAGCCAGGCAGTGGCACAGCAATAACACAGGAACCACACCGGAAGCTTCTGGGGACACCCCCTATATGCTGGATGTACACACAGCTGCATGTGATACAGGCTGACCAATGCTGGGGATGGATGGCAGCAGGAAGATGCTCTTGAGAGGTCTTTTTCTCTTTCTGTGTATGTGTGTCTCGCTCATTCATGGAAGACATAAACAAATAAACTTAAAAACAGGCCTGATTTAAAACTTGAAGATTTAATCCTACACTGGAAATAAGAAAAGTTTTTTTTAGAGATTTGTGCTATAGGGTGCATGCCCTGCCAGAAAGACAGAAAGCAAGAAATCACCACCCACAGGGAGGATGGCCATGCTGCAATTCCTTCCCCATTCTCCTCTCAAGATTTGGAGCATGTATGCACATGCGCCCTGAATGGGTTTTAAGCCACTAGATCTGGGACTAGAACAATGGTCAGCCAAATAGGAGTCCAGCACCTCAATCACCATGCCACCTACTGGGCCCTGGAACCAATATTTTAATATATAAGATATAATAAATAGAGATATGCAAAAAAAATTATGAACACAGAGAGTTGGAGAATTGTTAAATATTTAAGAGAGACCATTCATTTAGATTGAATTCCTGCATCAGACCCCAACAGACAACTGAAATGGAGTCACTCATGCTAACATGCTACATCTCCAAACCAAAAATAAGTTATCTAGCACTCTAAAAAAGTCAGGAGGGAAATGATACCCAAATCCTCACAGGCCAATTCTAGCAAGCATGATAAAATCCCTTTTGCTGCTATAACAGAATGTCTGAGACTGAATATTTATAAAGAACAAAGATTTGTTTTCTATAGTTCTGAAGGCTGGAAAATCTAAGGTCAAGGAGCTCACACCTGTCAAGGGCCTTCTTGTTACATCATCTCATAGCAGATGGTGGAAGAGCAGAAGACTGTGCATGTACACACAAGAGAAAGACAAAGGAAAGGAGCTAATGTCATACTTTTATCAGGAACCCGTTTCCAAGAAAAATGACTCGCTCCCTTGATAATGACATTAACCCATTCAGGAGGGGGGAACCCTCATGATCTAATCACCTCTCAAAGGTATTACCTCTCCCATCCTCTGTTACACAGTCAGTAGCATATCAAAGTGCTGTGCTAGAAGCCACATACCAATTAAGGTTCAAGTCCCGAGCCCAGTCTGCCTGAAACACACTGGGTGTGTGAGTAGGTGTCCAAAACCCTAGAAAGCTGGAGGGCTGAAGGAAGGGGATCGGGATGTGACCAGATCCTGGGGAGACTCTGCCTTTCTCTCGCATACATGTGCTCATGTGCCCTGTCATGAACACAACAACAACAAAGGTATCACCTCTCAATACTGTGGCACTGAGGATTAAGCTTCAAATTATGAACTTAGGGGAGGGGGGGATACATTCAAAACACAGCAAACTCTCATAAATAACCTGAAGCAACCTGACGTTAACCAGTCTGATTTTGCTGTTTCCTTGTCTCACTCAAGCTACTTTGTGGAAAAAAAAAAAAAAAATCCAGTAACAATACAAAAAAGTTTTCTGCTATGACCAAGAGTACCTTTTTTAACTCTTCAGATGAGATACTGCTGCTCAATTCATGAAACACTGGTAAAACCCAATTAAACCCTTAAGCTAAATTTTTTGAAAGTTTGGTTTTTAACAAGATCAAGTTTAAGTAAACACATCACAGGTTTCTCCTGCTAAAATTAAGCTATCAAAAATAATCAGACATTGAGTTCCGGACACCAGGCGGACTGAAACTGTAGGCACAACCCTTCCGAATCTTCACACATCCTCACCGTTCCTCCTCCTTGGACCCCGGGTTGGTTGTCTGGGACTTTAAGGCGAACTCCCACCCTACCCCACCCGCAACCCGGATCAAGCCAGCCAGCAGTTCAGGACAACAGGTGGACTGAGGCTGCAGGCCAGACCAACCTGGTCCTGTCACTCATCCTCTGACCCTTTCCCACTAGCTTTTGGACTCTGAATTTTGGTGATTTAAATAGCACGCAGCGTGCATTGCACGCCGCGCAATTTCCTTTTATTGTTCTGGATTTTTTTCGCTCTTGAGGTGTTGCTTATTAGGTCAGTTGTAGGCTTACCACTCCTTAGAAATAGGAAGGACTTTGGGCTATCCGGGGCTAGTGGCAACAGTTAATGGTAATTGTGAGCAACAGGTAGGCCAACCATGAGAGAAATAATCAATTTTCTAATTCTATACAACTTTTAACAGTCAGAGTAACCTTAAATAAGTTAGGAAGAGACATATAGATTACCTGATGACTAGGAACAATCGCAGAGGCTCAAGAAATATGAGCAACCAACAAAAGGCCTCTCCCTCAAGGGAAATCATCAAGCCTACATCACTCACAGTCAATACAATGGACGTCGTGGACATGT